TGAGCATCTTCACGGCATCTTAACACCAAGGCCAAATGCTTAGATTTAACAGTGATACTGACATTATTTTTATAATATTCAGATGTATATTAATTGTAAATTACAACACATGAATTACAGTTCAATTAACAATGCAGCAGAGCAAAAAAAAAAAAAAAACAGAATTTGCTAGTAAGTTGTACAAAAATGAAGATAAGGCCGGCATTGCGGCTCAACAGGCTAATCCTCGGACTGCGGTGCCGGCACACCGGGTTCTAGTCCCAGTCAGGGCTCCGGATCTGTCCTGGTTGCTCCTCTTCCAGTCCAGCTCTCTGCTGTGGCCTGGGAGTGCAGTGGAGGATGGCCCAAGTGCTGGGCCCTGCACCTGCATGGGAGACCAGGAGAAGCACCTGGCTCCTGGCTTTGGATCAGTGTGGTGCGCAGCCACAGCGTGCCAGCTGCAGCGGCCATTGGGGGGTGAACCAATGGAAAAGGAAGACCTTTCTCTTTCTCTCTCTTTCTCTCTCTCTCACTGTCCACTCTGCCTGTCAAAAAAATAAAAAAATTAAAAAAAGAAAAATGAAGATAAATTTTCAGCATGCTCCATACTGGCCAAGTTACACTCATAATACAGTGTCTGATTCTGGATACATTTTAAAGGAAAATTTCAGCAAATATGAATTTCCTTGGAAAACAAGAATTATTTTTGTACATAAAAATAACCAAAGCCCTTTACTTTTACTTCTTAATCCAGAGAAAGAACAAATTTATTGGAAATTAAAACTTTTTCAAACATCTGAAAATTCATGTCTGTGAATTATGTTATGAAAGGATGAAGCGCAGAGCTAAAAATAACAGCTAATTAATTGATTCCATTTCAACGTAAGGAAGAACTATCAACTAACTTTTTCAAATGTTGGACTTTTTTTTTTTCTTTGAGAGGCAGAGTTAGACAGTGAGAGACAGAAACAGAGAGAAAGGTCTTCTTTCCACTGGTTCACCCCCCAAATGGCCGCTACCGCCAGTGCTGCGCTGATCTGAAGACAGGAGCCAGGTGCTTCCTCCTGGTCTCCCATGTGGGTGCAGGGCCCAAGCACTTCCACTGCCTTCCCGGGCCACAGCAGAGAGCTGGACTGGAAGAAAGAGGAGCAACCGGGACAGAACCAGCTCCTCAATCGGGACTAGAAGCCGGGGTGCTGGCGCCGCAGGTGGAGGACTAGCCAAGTGAGCCACGGCGCCGGCCAAAATGTTGGACTTTATGATAAGTTCTTCACTCATGGAAGTTTGTAAAAGTCACTGCTCAAACCAGTACAACAGGGATTCCCTCCTTCACAAATTCAGGTGTCTTTGAACTGCTCACTTCTTGTCCATAAGGAAGCAAACACACAGTTTCTCCAGTCTTCTTGCCTTCTTTCACCCCTGTCTTGTTTCTCTCATTTCTGTTTCATTTTTAGCTCAGCCCCTTCAAGCTGACAGCCCACCTGACTTTTCCATTTGCCTTGCCAGTTATCCACTCTTTTTATATTCTTAGGTCCACAAGCAATCTGTTCAAGATTCCTGGATAACGACCCCAAGCCCCACCTCTCATCTGTCTTGGAAGAGAGATCAGAAATTTAATTTTATGATTGTAAAGCTTCTGTTCAATTCTTGGATTCATTTTGCTTGTTTTTCTGTTTATAGATCTTGGTGAATACTGAATGATTAAAGAATGAATAAATGAGTGAATAAAAGAATATTATTAAGAAACCAATAATAAGCTCTCTTTTGTAAGAACTAGCTACCTGAATGGGTCTTAGTCTTTCAATCACTCCAACAGGTGACAGGGAGTACAAAGGCATGAACAATGAATACCTGTGGGGACAAGGAAAGCAAATGTGACAGTGAGAAAGGACAAGGGTAGAGGTGGGAGCAGGGAGTTGCACGATGGTGAAGACCCAAGATTAATTCTTAGAAAGTATGAACCAGTAAAGTCTCTTTATTTTGTTTATAAACCAAGCAACTATTTATAAACCAAAATAAAATATCAGGCTATATAAAAATGTATTTGAATGAAACTGAGAAGAGAATTCTAAACTCCTAAGAAATTTTGACAAGAAGCAGCAAACACACAAAGGCAAAAATAATAATCCAACCATATCAATGAATTTCAAATGCATTATGCTAAGACTCATTACATGAGTCTATTTTTTCAACAGACATAAAAAGGCACAAACGTATAGAAAGAATACAGAACACTAGTTTACCAGGGACTGGAGGATGACCAAACAGATTGACTAAAAGGCACAGGGAGAAATGGGGAGGGGGCTGGGGGGTAGAACTTATCATATAATTGTGGTGGTGATGAACAAGTGTATATTTGTTCAAAATATAAACAACTGTACACTAAAGGGTGGATGTTACAGGATGTAGCTCACCTTTAATTTTTAAAATGGGAAAAACAAGAGTTTAAAATAACTTTGAAAAGCTAACCAACTAAGATACAGTTTGTGTCACAAAAAAATCACATCAAAGGTAAACATTTTGAGAGAAAATTATTGGGATCATTTCTATGATACAGTGACCAGTACATGAATTCAAAGAAAACATCACAGGGTTTGGGTTGTGGCACAGCAGGTTAACACTGCAAAATTGGCATCCAGTCTTAGAGCCTGGGTTCTGGCCCCAGGGGCTCTTCCTGCTACTGTGCCTCAGACAGCAGTGGGAGAGCCAGAGGGAGCTCTGGGCTCCTGGCTTAGGCTTGGCCCAGCACTGGCCATCACAGCCATTTGGGGAGTGAGCCAGCAGAAGGAAGATATTTCTCTCTGTCATGCCGCCTTTCAAACAGATAAATAAATCTTATAAAAGAGAAATTAAAAATGTATAACCAACTTGCTTTTTGTAAATTAATCAAATATATTCTCACTGATGAGTAGTTAACATCTCAAATTAAATTCATTCATGTCTTATTTTGAAATATACTCCCATAAAAATGTTACTCTAGTAATAAGAAAATAAACATTAAAATTTGTATTATTTCTATAGTCTACATTTTGTTAGCATATTTTCTATTTTATGTTTTAACTTAAAATTTATGCTTAAATAGAACACTCATTGCTCAAAATTAAAAACAAAACTTGCAATAATTATTTTTCTTTTTCCTTTTTTTTTTTGACAGGCAGAGTGGACAGTGAGAGAGAGAGACAGAGAGAAAGGTCTTCCTTTTCCATTGATTCACCCTCCAATGGCCGCCGCGGCCTGCATGCTGCAGCCGGCGCAACGGGCTGATCCGAAGGCAGGAGCAGGAGCTTCTCATGGTCTCCCATGGGGTGCAGGGCCCAAGGACTTGGGCCATCCTCCACTGCACTCCAGGGCCATAGCAGAGAGCTGGCCTAGAAGAGGGGCAACCGGGACGGAATCCCGCACCCCGACTGGGACTAGAACCCAGTGTGCCGGCGCCACAAGCGGAGGATTAGCCTAGTGAGCCGTGGCAACAGCACGATAATTATTTTTAATATAGTATGAATAAACATGTGTTTACTCATCTTTTAGAACTTGGCACTGAGGTAGGCATTTGGTCTGGTGGTTAAAAGATGCTTCCTCGGATACCCACATCCTGTTCTACTCCTCAATCCAGCTTCCCGCCAGTGCATGCCCAGGGAGGTATCAGGTCACAGCTCCGTAACTGGGCTCCTGCCATCCACATAAAAGATGCGAATCCAGTTTCTGGCACCTGGCTTCAGGCTGGCCCAGACCGAACAGTTGTGGGCATTTGGGGAGTGAAGCAGCAGATGAGGGATTTTAAATAAAAAATAATAGTAATATTTTCTCCCAAAATTCAGCACTGTTTCAGAGCTATGAGAATGAGATGCTTTCAGGACACAGTTAAGAGGGTATCAAAGAGAATACGTATGTAAAATCTAATACCAATTAAAAATTACTAAGTGCATTGCTTTTTTTCTGATTAAGAATAGTTTGAGCAATAGACATATAAGGTTAAGGATAGATTTTTGTTACTGAAAAATTGCAAAGAACCAAAGCTGAAGTGATAAAAAGGCAACTTAAAAGCATACTTTCTTAAACTTATCAAGAAACTAGGATTTAAAAAATGATTTTATCTGGCCAGTGCCACGGCTCACTAGGCTAATCCGCCTGCGGCGCAGGCACCCAGGGTCCTAGTCCCAGTCGGGGCGCCGGATTCTGTCCCGGTTGCTCCTCTTCCAGTCCAGCTCTCTGCTGTGGCCCGGGAAGGCAGTGGAGGATGGCCCAAGTGCTTGGGCCCTGCACCCACATGGGAGACCAGGAGGAAGCACCTGGCTTCGGATCGGTGCAGCACTGGCGGTAGCGGCCATTTGGGGGGTGAACCAATGGAAAGAAGACCTTTCTCTCTGTCTCTTTCTCTCACTGTCTAACTCTGCCTGTCAAAAAAAAAAAAAAATGATTTCATCTGGAACAATATGTCACTCAAATGAATTTTCTTTTTAATGACAGGAATACATTCTCCATACTGAAATATGAGTATTTTCAAGCTTACATTCTTGCCCAAAGCTACCACAAGTTAACCTCTACTTTCTTAGAAGCAGAAGTCTTTGTCGCTGTGTTCTTGGTTGTGTTAAATCTAAAACAGTGAGCTGATTATGACAAGGAAGGCAGTGAGAGTATGAGAAAAGACCACACTGCAGAAGACTACAATGCTGCAAGGACCACATACACTTGGAAGGATTGTATGCATCATCTGATCAGAGGCTGAGATCACAAAGCAGTGAAGAAATAGCTTAGATGAGGCTCTGCAATCTTTCAGCAGTCCCCAAGGAAAGGAGGAAGACATCTCAAGAGATTTCCAACAAAAGTTCTTATGTGGTATACTATATAAAACTCCCATGAAGCCAAGCTATAGCAAATAGGTGGTACTCCTACAGTTGTAGTTTTGTTTATTTTCAGTGTAGCATAAAGTATAGTCTGGACCACTTGGTGGCCAATGTTTTATATGGGTTGTAAATGTAACATGCACTGTGGGTGTGAAGTCCATTAAGAGCTTGATTTACTGTACTTGTGTATGTGTTTGTTTAACTTGTGGACAAAGACTGAAATACAGATGCAAAAGATCCTCTTTTGCAACACAGAACTCATTGATCAGTATGAGTTTTGATAGATACAAGCAGGAATAGGATGAAAAAACAAAAAAGACAAAATTTGGCTGGCGCCGCGGCTCACTAGGCTAATCCCCCGCCTTGCGGCGCCGATACACCGGGTTCTAGTCCCAGTTGGGGCGCTGGATTCTGTCCCGGTTGCCCCTCTTTCAGGCCAGCTCTCTGCTGTGGCCCAGGAGTGCAGTGGAGGATGGCCCAAGTCCTTGGGCCCTGCACCCCATGGGAGACCAGGAGAAGCACCTGGATCCTGCCATCGGATCAGTGTGGTGCGCCGGCTGCAGCGCGCCAGCCGCGGCTGCCATTGGAGGGTGAACCAATGGCAAAAGAAGACCTTTCTCTCTGTCTCTCTCTCTCACTGTCCACTCTGCCTGTCAAAAAAAAAAAAAAAAGACAAAATTTATCAAACAACTTACCCAACCCCATACTTCATTACTGGATTGGTGCCACTAACAGTTAAATATATGAATGAGCACAGGGCTAAGGCAAAACTTTGAATAAATTAATATTTATGGAATGATAATGGCGTAAGCTTCAGGGAAGAGAATGCCAGGTGGTTATTTATGTTGCTTTATCCTAATGTGATCAGCTCCACACGCACTGGACCTTCTCCTCCCTTGATTCTGCATTCTGGTTAAATAATGGGAGGCTCCACTTGTGACTGGGAAGTATGTGTCTATGTTTGCATATGGTGATCTAAAAGGACCTAGTGAGATAAGACAACCGGAAAGAAAAACTCTTAAATTTTAATTGCGCCCCCAGAGCTTCACTAGCAACATTATTATGTTGATTTTGTTTAATTGTTTTCATTTTGGGAAGTCTCTTTTCGCAACTTTATTATTTTATGTACCTAAGAAGTGCACCTATTGTCCCCTCAAACTTGAGTGCTTGCATTTCATAAAATGTTCAAGTTGAAAGTGATCTTTGGCCGGCGCTGCGGCTCAATAGGCTAATCCTCCACCTGCGGCGCCAGCTACACCAGATTCTGTCCTGGTCGCTCCTCTTCCTGTCCAGCTCCCTGCTGAGGCCCAGGAAGGCAGTGGAGGATGGCCCAGGTGCTTAGGCCCCGCACCTGCATGGGAGACCAGGAGAAGCACCTGGCTCCTGGCTTCAGATCAGCGCCGTGCGCCGGCTGCAGTGCGCTGGCCGCAGCGGCCATTGGGGGTGAACCAACGGAAAAGGAAGACCTTTCTCTCTGTCTCTCTCTCTCACTGTCCACTCTGCCTGTCAAAAAGATAAATAAAAATAAAAAAAGAAAGTGATCTAAAAGCTAATCCAGTTTCTTCTTAACTCTGGAGGAAATGACTCACAATCCCTCAGTAGATATAGACACACATAGTACTAGAAAGTAGGTCTCCTAGCAGTTAGCATGGAAGAAGTAAAGCAAGGTGGCTATTTTACTCTTTGGCATAATAATTCAACATTTTTCAAAATGATCCGTGTTCATTCTCACCCCAATATGAATTACTATTATTGGAAAAGTATTTTCATAAAATTTCCTATTAGCAACAAGGGAAGGATAAGGTATTGGGCATGGAATACCCAGATGACAACATGGAGGGCAGAACATCCAAGGAGCAGGGCAAGAAGAGAGAAGGTGTGCGTTAAATGAGTTTTCAAAAATGGGGAGAGACAGATAATTACATGTAAAACTCCACTTTATCTTCCTTCAATTTCCCAAGGGTCACATATCACAGAGGGTATAATAAAATATCAGAATTCATAGTAGGCATGGCAGTAAATCTGCTGCTTGGGATACCTACATCCCTTATCCGAGTGCCTGGGTTTGAGTAAGCACACTGCTTCTGATCCAGCTTACTGCTAGTGTACACCCTGGAAGGCAGCACTTGGTGGCTCAATTACTGCAGTTTCTGCTACCCAAAGGGAGATCTGAATGGAGTTCCAGGTTCCCAGTTTCATCCTGGCCTAGGCCTAGTTGTTGTAAGCATTTGGGAAGCGAAACAGCAGATGGAAAATCTCCCCTACCCGTGTGTCTGTGTGTGTGTGTGTGTGTGTGTGTGTGTGTGTGTCTGCCTTTCAAACAAATAACATCTTAATTTAATTTAATTTAAAACAAGACAATGTTAGGGCCGGCGCTGTAGAGTAGCAGGTAAAGCTGCTGCCTGCAATGCTGGCATCCCACAAGGTTCAAGGCCTGGCTGCTCCACTTCCAATCTAGCTCCCTGCCTGGGAAAGCAGTGGAAGATCGCTCAAGTACTTGGGCCCCTGCCACCCATGTGGGAGATCCAGAAGCAGCTCCCAGCTCTCAAGGTTGTGGGCATCTGGGGAGTGAACCAGCAGATTAAAGATCAACCTTTTTCTGTCTCTCCCTCTTTCTCTGAAAACTTTGCCTTTCAAGTAAATAAATAAAAAAGAGACAACTTTAAAAAATTATTTGCCTCCTGGAAAAGCAGAGAGGGAAGGAGAAAAGTGAGAAGAAGAAGGTGAAGATCTCCAGGGTGGGAGCCTGGCCCAGTGGTTAAGATGATCCTTATGATGCCCACATTGCATACTGGAGTCCTGGCTCTGCTCCCATTCCAGCTTCCAGCTCATGCTCTTACTGGGAGGTGGCCAGTGATGGCCCAGGAAGCTGAGTCCCTTCCACCCACATGGGAAACTTAGGTTGGTTTCTGGACTCCTGGCTTCAACGAGGCCCAGTCCTGGCCGTCGTGGGCATTTGGGAATGAATCAGAGGATGGGAGATTTCTCTCACTATCTCCTTCTCTCTCTCCCTCGTGTGTGTTTGTGTGTGTGTGTGTGTGTGCACTTCACAAATAAATAAATACAAAGAGATCTCCTCCTTCTTCAGTATCAATAGAAAAGATTATGGACTCCTTTGGTAATTTTTTAGATACTTGCAAAAAAATTTCTGAGCCAGTTAGTGTAATTTTAAGTATGAACACACTGCATGTGAGGGAGCTCTAGAGGGCATTATGGTTATAAAAATATCAGTATATTTTCAGGTTGTTATATGGAGGGTTGCATTCTTTAATCATGCCTTAGTATGCAACAGCAACTTGAACAAGTTAAAGAGTAGGACTTTAAATTTGAAAAGACAGACTTATCATCAAATCATAAATATTCAGTCTACTCTGTTTAAAGAATATATTGAGGGTATAGGTGTTATGGCACAGTGGTTAAGTTGTTGCTTGTGATCTCACATCCCACACTGGAGTTCAGTTCAAGTCCTGGCTACTCCACTTCAGATTCAGCTTCCTTCTAAAGCATCCTGGGAGATAACAGAAGTTGGCTCAAGTGCTTTGAACCCTGACACCCATGTAAAAGATCAGGACACAGTTCCTGGTTCCTGGCATCAGCCTGGCCCAGCCATAGCGTTTACAGTCATTTGGAGAGTGAAACAGCAGATATAAATCTCTCTCTCTCTCCCTTCTCTCTATGCCTCTCAAATAAAATAAAAATAAAAAATAATTTTAAATCATTTCAATTACACAAAAAAACAAGTTACGCAATGCTACGGACAGAATTTCCAATGAGCCCTTCATTTCACATTATTTATGGCACTTCCAACAAGTGTCAGGCACTATTCTAAACACTGAGAGCAGTGAACAAAACAAAATCCCTGGCTCCATTTGAATGCACATTCTCCTTAAGGGAACAGATGATAAACAAGTAACTTTTTAATATGCCAGTTGATGACAGTACTATGAAGAAAAATAAAATACAATGAAGGTAATGGGGTACGATAAATGAGGATCTGTTATTTAATACAAGACGATCAGAAAAGGTTTCCCTAATAAGAACACACTTGAGCAGGAACCTGAAGTTCACAAAGACACTTGACAAAACATAGAGAAAAGCTCTGAGCTGGGAATCAACTTAACCTGTTTCAAGGAATATCAAGGAGGCCAATGTGTCCACAGTGGACTGAATAAGAAGAAAAATAATAAGGTAATATAGAGAATTTTTGTCTTTTATGCAGAGGAACATAAGAAGCTGTTGGAAGATTTATATAAAAAGACATAATCAGAATTTAATTTTTGTAAGATCACTCTGTTGTGTGGAGAATAAACTGTGGTACCTATAGAGACAGGATGGGGAATTAAAACAAGCATCTATTGCCATAGTTCAAGTAGGAGATGATGGTGGAATGGAACAGACTGATAGCAGTTCTAGTACAAATGAGATGAACAGAATAAAGCAGATTTTTGTTCCCATTTAACTAAAGGTAGAGTCCATAAGGGAAAAAAAATCCAAGACAAAGCTGAAGTAAAGAGTTAGCTACAGGCATACAGATATAGAACAACGAAATCCTGGAACATAAATTTGGGTGAAGTAATAGTGAGGAACAGTTCTTAAAGATGTTGGGGATCTTTTTTTTTAATGAGATGATTTTATGACAGACTACATATGCTGAGATGTTAAGATATCTGGATTAGTGTACTATAAGTTTCTCCTCACAATCTGCCAGTGAAAAAATTTATAAATGCTTCCTCCAAAGTAGGTCTTCCATCGGTTCTTTCCTACCCCCTAAAATACAGTTTAAGAAAGTTTGTTTTCTCCAAAGGTAGAGAAAAAGTTCCCAAACAATGGCTGTAGCTCTACGTGTGAACCGAAATGATAGAAATTTAAAGGGATACCAAAACAAAAAACTTTCATGTAAAATACTATTAAATAAACATAAAAGTTCAGAAGAAAGAAAAAATGAATATCAGAAAAACTTCAAGCTCCTTCTAGTGGCATACTTTCTTGGAAGAACTCAATGTTAATTACTTAACTTTTGTTAATAAATGTATGATAGCCTAATCGCATAATCTTTTAGACTTTTATGAGAAGAATCTTTAAAAACTTAAACAAATTTTAAATCCACATTATCATCTACAAAATATATTCTAATTCTTCCAAGACAGAAATGGAAAGAAATTGAGGAACGTTAATAAACAAAAAATATTGAGAGCTTTTAAACCCCTAGGAATTCACTTGCTTCACAGCAATGTACTTTTTCAACATTTAAATTATAGTCACTCTTGTTAATGAAAATAATTTGATACTGCAGCAAAGAAC